TATTCATCAGTCATCACATCAAATAAAATCGCTTACCGCGATTTTTTATAAAAAAAGAGACGTTGAATCGAGTTAAATTCATATTTATTGGTGAATTCTTAATTCACCGTTTGGAATTTTTTGATTCACATTTTCAAATCTTGATTCACCATTTTGGACTTGATTCACTCTTATTTTAAGCCCTGCATCAATACTGAAAATAGCTCCGCTTGCTTCTAATATTGAGCTCTGAGTCTGAACTCTATTCACTGGAACACCCGAAAAAATTCATTCCACAGGAATGGAGTGTATATTTGATGAATATAATGGCGATGCCAACGAATATTGAATGGAGAGAGAGAAAAGAGATTGAAAATTACTCGTATCAATCGGTTGACATGCATCAAAAGCGACTGAAGGTTGGCCATAAATCATATTTGATTTTTGGGGTAACTCTCTCACGCACTATTTCAATTTCTGTTTGAATTTTGAATTCGGCTCCGAATGCTATGTTCTTTTTGACTTTCATCAACTCTCTTTACCGAACCGACCGGCCATCCAACTATGATTATTGTTGGAAATTTTTGGGTGATATTTTGCATTACAAACAGCACACACAAGTTGTACACTGGAAAAATTCATGGAAAATTTGTCGCATATCAATTGCATTCGGTAGATTGGCTTCGAAATGAAAGTTTTTGAATTTATTCCGAAATGGTTGATGGCGTCCATCGTTTCAAACCCATCGTGTGTTTGTGTATGAAAATCGTTACAATGATGTTGTGAGCAACACCAAAATTGGCAAGAATGCGACACATACGATTTGATGCGGTTCCAATGATATGACATAGCGATTGTGGTCAGCAAAAAAACGAAGGCACATAACATCGATGTGACGTATCAGCTATCCGCTCCATGCCAAATGTCATCATCGAAAATGGAACTAACCATTTTCGAAATGTTTTTGTCGCTCTGCACAAAGTGTTTTGTCACTTAATTAAAATGTCAGCTATTTAAAAGAGGCAAGACATAATTCGGGAATAATATTGCCCGAGCGGCGTACATGATGAATCCAATCAACGTTACTGTGCGAAATGGAGACTCTTATTTTTGGAATTAGCTTCTGTTCACAATCAATTATAGCATTTGAACGAACTGAAATTTGTTAAAACGCTTTACAGTTGATGCCCTTATAATGCGAATTATCGCTCCTTGGAGAGAGAGAGAGAGAGAGAGAGAGAGAGAGAAATAGATAGAGCGCAGTGTCAGGCAGAAAAAAAGTGATTCGATTTAAAGACGCAATATGATTACATAAATGGAAATTCCACCATGTATATTGGTCCGATAAAATCGAATCGATATAGATTAAGCATGGCATACAACTTTTTACGTTGAAAGAAGAAGAAAAAAAAAACCGAAATAAATTCGATAAATTTGCCTTCAGCAACGTATCAAATTCATCTTTTTCGCATTACACACGGTTCATTACGTATTTATTAATGGCAGATTTGAATCTTGTCGCTTGGTGACACCGGCAGAAATTCCGTGACATCAATTCATCAAATGTATTCAATTTTTGATTGAGTGACTCATTTCAATTTCCCAATTCCATTTTCCAATCCAAAAAAAAATTTACCCCGTCCCTTCTCATCCTGATCCATTCGAAATGAGTGACAAACGGATTGAATCGGATTTAATGTTATCGTAAAAATCCATTGAAGCGACAAATGAATCTCTGGTTGCTCTGTTTGCAATCAAATCATTTTTCTTAGACCAAATGATATCCACAAAGGGATTTAACTTCATAGCTTAACACCAATTTTACATACAAATAACAACCTCAAAATGTCAGCAACGGCCAGTATTTAGAATATTCCCTATAAAGGAACGCCCTTTGTCCATTCCAAAACCATTCTCATAAAACCGTGTCCCAATGGATTCGTGTTTTCCAAATGCATGTCGTGTAAAACGCAATCGTTTCAAAATCGATTGACATAAGGCCAAAATTAGGTGTAATGTGCAGTGCACTGCAACCATAATCGAAAATAATGTATCACAATAGTGAAATTGTTAATTGCCACTCATACGTTTGCAAAACCTGCTCGTATCAAGAGAGAAAGGTGGGTGAGAGTGAGCGAGACTGCACTTGTAGTCGGAAATGTAAAGAGGCAATCAATCTTTTGAACTGACTTTAATTGCAACTCAATGCGCCGATTGCAAACAAGCATAAACCATAGGCGTTGAATGGTTTCCCATTTCATGTTTATCGCTTTTTGCTACAATTGTCGCTTATTTCGAGCAAAAAAATTATTTAAATTTATTTTTCCCTGAGTGTATTAAGTGTTGAACAAATATTAATTAATTCAGTCGATTAGCATTCATTTGAATGCGAGCCAACTTCAATTCAAGTAAATATTTTTGGATTCATTTGAATGATGCATTTCCTGAAACAATCGTTGAACTTTAAAAAAAATCGTTTTCATTATTTTGAATGAATGAATGGAAGCTACTCGTTTGGAAAATTGATGAATGACTATAACGAAAACCGACTGATCAATGTGATAACAGTTAGTCGAGCTGAAGTTTTGTATGAGAATTAATCTATCATGGTGCAAATTCAGCCAGACAACTGGAAATTGGGATATGTTCAACTATGATTCCAGCTAATTACCATCAATATTTTTTGTACTAGACAATCATTTTTAACCAGTCAAATATGAGTAGTTTGGAGCGAAAATGTAATATAGAAAAGTTGCGCGGAAAAATGTCGATGATGAATGAGCGGGAAAGTGATAAATATATAGTAAACTGTATAGTAAACTCTAGTGAACTATATAGCTATCTCTTTTCATTTGAAATTTTTCCACTCAACTTTTCTGTATTACATTTTCGCTCCAAACTACTCATATGTCCCAAAATAATCGACAAAATAGTATTTGCCCACGACCATGTTTGAACTCTTGTTTGTTTAATGCATTAAAGGGATTCATTCATTTCCGTAAATAGAACGAAATTCAAATCGTCCGAAAATGTGGTGCCTGCTTTAAATCGGTGTCACGCATAACACATTTTGATTTATAATCACTTCGCCGTCATATATTTTATTTTTACGATTTTTCCCGACATATCGTTTTAATTTCATGAACGATTCGGTTTATAGCAGGAATGCGAGCGTGCTCACGTTGCCATGGACAATAATAAAGTGAGCAAAAAGCATTACTTAACGAGTCATATGTTCTTCAGGTGTTTCATTAAAATGGTTCCCAGGGACTGTGAACGAAGCAAATGAAATGAAATCAACACATTCATTTTATGGGCAAACAGTGTTTTTTTTTCTTCGTTTCGTTCAGAAAATGCACTTCGTGTGCAATCATTACACAATTCAATCACACTAATAGTGGCGTTTGCATTTTTTTATACTTATATACGCCGACATGTCACTTGTACTTGTACACGTGCAGAGTAAATCCGCGTCGAAATTTCATATTCCCTGTATTCCGTTACGAAACTCTCTCAACCGTCATCCAATTATACTATTGTACGAAATGTGTAGCCGCATTTTTGTTGCTTTCTATACTTTCTTGGCTCGTTTTTATTTGTTCCATAAAAGCTTATACCACACCTAGACCTACACCCATTTTTTCGAAAAGTAATGGTTCTTTTAACCACGTGAATATACCCTGACTAACCTAGAATATTTTTATTTACAATAGCAACGGGCACATGTATTTCATGTAACCACATACACATCGCACACTATGCGCGAATGGCCTATTCAAATCATAAATTAATTTCAACAAACACAAAGCTGAAATACAACGCATGTTGCTATTTTCGCATTTTCTTTGTTCATTTTCTGGAGTGTGTTTGTATGACTCTTACTATTGTGACTACAATTTCGTTTCTTCTTTTCTTTCGGGATTAGTGTGTTTGCCCATCATGTTACACTGCCCGAAAAATTCAATATTTCAACGACAAAAAAATGAAAATGTTTACCTGAGCTACTTTCTCTCCCATGTTAGGCGTGTGTCGTGAGCCTTGAAAAAATTTCCCCGATCCATTATCCTGTTTTATGGCATATATTATATGAGGAATACAAACGTCTTAGATTTTTGCTTTTCATACATTGTGCGTGTGTAATCTCTATTCGATAAATTGAATATTACTTACACGATGTCGGTCTGATCTGTACTCAGAAGGCACATTTGATAAGGTCGAACTATCATGTTGATCGCTGCTGACATTCGTTGAATTTTGCCGAAATGATATTGCTTTGTATCGTTGTAGATCACTTTCAGATGAAACATATGGAAAGTATTGACGTGCCACATGACCCGATTTACCTAGTTTTGATTCGAAACATGAAAAAAAAAGCGAACGTATATTCAATGTGCGTTTCACAGCATCACAGACATAAAACGGAATAAAAGTTACATTTTGAAACCCACCTCATCATCAAATTAAATGTAACAACATAAAGGGAATGCAAATTGTGCAACGGAAAAAAAATTGTTCATAGAAAAACGAGCAAATTGATTTCAGTTGGAGCTTTTCACAAAATCGTTGCAATGAACATGATACGAAACTTGAATTCTGAACATGGTGTATGCAGCACACCGGGTGCACAGGATTAATTCCACCAATTTGTTTTCTTTTGAAATGAATGCTTTTGTAATGGAATTAATAGTGCAATTTGTTTTATTATACAATCGTATATTCAAAATTTATTCCTCGTGTTAGGATTTCAAAATCCACAATAAAAACCTCCATTGAATTAAACGGGCAGAAAAAAGTGTGGAGAATTCCGTTCAGAATTGAAGTCACGATTTTTGATGATTTTTTTTTCTGTACATGAATTTTAGCAAAGTATTTAAATATGATGATAAAATCGGCTGGAATGATAGAAGGTAATTTAAGCTGGTGGAAAAATAGGCGAAACAAATCTTACATCATAATCTACATAGTTCGAGTTGGGCTTAAGCACAATTTTTAGGCATTTTTTGTTGTTTAAAGAACGCTGTTCACACCAATATGGCATTGCATATATTACACAATGTCGATGAAATTTCATTTATTTTATCATAAAAATTCAGTTTGTTGGATTAGTAGTAGTTGAATTTTAGACTTGAAAAAATCGAACTTAGTTTACGTAAATAATTAGAATTTCATGTAATTTGTTCACTTCAATAACGGCCGTTTGAATTTGAAATCTTCTATAAAGTCGTTTGCATCATACAACAAATGTACGACTGCTTCAATGGCTACTGTGTAGCGGTTAACTTTCTGGGGGTTTCATTCAAGGCTTGGGAAATGTGAATATTTGTGAATATTGTGGATATTTTTCTCATTGAATCATCGTCAAAATTTGCGATGCGACGACTTCGTCTGTGCGGGCGTGCGTAAGCATCTCGTTCGGACATTTACAAACTATACACATATTCTTGCTGCTATAAGACTATTCGTCAACCGGGATTCTTTGTATTCAAAGTGGAAAACATCTTAATTTTATTTCCCCATCATTGAACGATATTCACTGAATATTATCCAATGAACAAAGCACACTCCCTGAATGAGTTTACTGGATCACGATAAATAACTTATCCTATGTTAAAATTCGCAATATTTTATTCGACGATTAAGTTTTTTTTTATTTCTATTTTTCGTATGGTTATAACTCCCAGCAAATTCAATTGAATTTTTAGTTTAGTATATTGAATCACAACGTGTTAATTTTGAACAGTTCAATCGAATGAGTTTCACAAGCTGTTTGAGTTTATAGAACTCTTTGACTCACTCAATATAACTTTTCAACAACAAAGCATGACGATGTGATGGTATCGCATTGGAATGTAATGTACACATTATATATTTCCAATTATGATTGAACCTGAATGTCTTTGATATGTATCAAATAAATGTAAAAAATAGACAATTTCAAGAAAATTGTTGAAGTCTAACGTGAATTGATTTTCTGTTTATTCAGCATGAACAATTTGCAGAATTTACATAGTACTTATACGATGATTTTTATCGCAGAAAATGAAAATGCGCCCGCAAATATTTTAACGACATTGTGTTTGTTTCATAATGATAACCAAACGAACGGCAATAAATGAAAACTTGTTGCATGCAATTCGAAAATCTGGAAAAAAACATTTGTTATCTTAATGAGTGCATGCGAGAATTTGACAAAGAAAAAAAGATGCAGCCATGTAAGAAAAAGACAACATTCCGTTTTATTAACAAATATGTCCGCCAAATTCATGCCAAATTGAGAAAAATATGGATTCAATCGCTTAAGGCAATGGAAAACAATGGATGATAAGTGGATAAATATCCATAAATACAATTCATATAAACTTGAAATAAATAAATAATGGTGATACTTTGAACAATTTGAACAAAAAATGCATCGCATGAAATAGAATTAGTTTGCAATGTATGATTTCAATTTCTGCATTTTTTCTAATTTTCAGATGAAAACTTGATGAAACCGCCTCATTTTAAAATTAGATCCAAGGGTGCGCGGCAGAATTGCATAGCAACAAGCCTATTTTATACTCTGCCTAATATGTCAGCATATCGCTCATCATTTGGGTAGATCATTCAAAGCTGCCACCAAAACCAGTGCTACACTCGATTTAGTCGATCATATCTTTTCATCCTTATCACATGAATGTTCAAAACAGCAGAAATACAACATTTTCATCCTGAAGAGATTTTGAATGAAGAGCTTTTGCACTGGATGAATCTTCTGGGAATCGTATTAAAACTTCTATAATCTCTAGCATATCACAAAACGGATAGTATAATGGTGTAAATACATGGCCATTGACGGCTTTTATGCAAACAAAATATATGATAATATACAATGGTGTTGATTGAGCTGGGCATGTCGAAATGAGCATATGGACTCCATATTATGGAGCGGTAATACAATGGGCGGAATATCTGAACAAATTTGAAAAAATGAAGATTTCATTCATAAGATAAAATGGAAACAAAAAGTATTTGAATACTTGGTTGAAATGAATAAAGTGGGATTACAAATAAAGAAATGGGTTTGGAAAGCTGATCATTGGCTAGCAGATCTCTGTATAATTGGTTTAAAATTGAAATGTCAAAATGAGCAGTGCATCAAATGTCAAGCCAATTTTACTCGTTTGCTCGGAAGTTGAGCGCACGCCTTTTCTTAGAGTGCAGTCACACTAGGAAACATGGATTGGAAACATGTTTCCAGTTCCCCATAAGATCCTGTGTATTTTTGTTTCCACTAAAATGTTTCCTGTAAAAAAAATTACATTGGACCTTATGGGATGTTTCCAATTCATGTTTCTTAGTGTGACTTTACCCTAAGGGTCCAAAATCCAAGTGGCCCAAAGGCCATTTGATGTGCGATCTCTTCGAGTAAGTTTAGCGCTCGCCATTGCGAATCAAACCAGTAACGGTTAGGCTGGACTTTTGATCACACAGTTCATACGGTGGTTACCTTCCATGAAATCGTCGAGTGTATGGGCACGTTTTTGTATTAAGCCTCGACAATTTTTCGCTTTCGATGCTGTGGCCCCTCGAGTCGTGGTTGTTGTTGTGGTCGGTGCTGTTGTGGTTCGAAGGTTATTCAAATGATTAATCGATTTTCTTATGTCAATTTCGAGTCGACTATTTGCTTGCGATTCAATCAATGCTTGTTCATCGTCCGAATCAGCTGGGTATGTTCGTGTATTTTGCATTCAATATTTAAGGCAATTTATTTATCAATTTTTTTTTATCGGTTCGTGTGCATATATTTGGACCAAGCGTCAAAGAACGTGTATCAGAATCGGAGAGCCAGTCAGAGAGAATTTGTTTTTTTTTCGCAATGGGCGGACAAAGATACGCCAACAGACAAATTAAAGAAAAGATGGAATAAATAGAAGAAAAATAAAATAGAAACGATTGAAAGCTCACTTGTAGGGAGTTGGAGTGTTTTTATTCTGTTCAAGTATGGAATAGACATAAAGGTAATGGAATATATATGGCAATGAAATTGAATGATGAGTTTAATTGAATCTTAAATGTCTCGTTGTCATGGTTACTCAGACTGATTGGATCACAGTTTCACTGTGAAAGAATCATAATTGAAAAACGTGGGCAAAAATACTTCTCAGACAGGAGTTTCAATAGTCCAAACAAAATAATTGAAGAAATATAGAAAGTAGACGCGAATCGTTGGCAGCAAACTGATAAAATCAAAATCAACTAATGAAGTGGCCAGCTCTTGGATAATCAAGATCTTGCTTCGCATCTTGAATGTCAAATAGGTTAAAGGCAACCAGAGCATAGTGGCAAAAATATTCATTTCGCCCAAATACATTTCTCATGTACAGATTGATGGAATAATTGTTTAACAAAGCTTGAAAAAAAGCAAACATTCTCTCATTATATATATGGATGCGAGTTGTTGTGAAATGAATTCTAATTATTTAATCGCACCATATCTCTTACTAGATGAGAAAAACTCTTGAACGATGGTGTGAAATTGTTTGTTGATATAGTGATTACTGGCAAATATAGAATCATTGTTACAGGAAAAGGGATCATTTTTATTGGCCATTTAAAAAAAAATCATTTTGATGGATAAAGACAATCAATTCCATTTGAAACTATTTGAAGATTATTTAAATCCATATTTTTTCAACTACTCAAAATGTCATAAATCGTATTTGTGCCAATTCAAAAATATGGAGCTGTTGTTATATCTCAATCTTGATTGATCAGCAGCTAATATTACTGTTCAATGATCCCGGCACAAAAGAGCCATTGATTCCGAAGTTTATTTTCAAAATAAATATCACGACGCGTCTGCTGCTTATTTGCATAATTGTTAAGTCGCAATCCATGCATTTTCCTTCCGAAATTTGGGCTAATCTCAAAAGGCTCCTTTGCTTTTAAAAACAAATGAAAAACCAAAAATTCCACGTAGCAAAAAGCAAATCATGAAATCAAAACTAAGGTAGTTTTGCATACGAAAAACAGAGAAGAAGAAAAGTCAACAGCGTAAAGACACGTAAAATATTTAGTAGAAATGTCTAAAACACGTTACACAACATCGGAACAAAGAACAAAAAAACGCAAGACAACATAAAATTACACAGAAATAGCAACACGTGGAGCTGTATCAAAAAAGAACGAATTTGTTTTGACAACATAAGCAACGGCAATAGCAACGACAACAAGCAACGTGTAACACATACGAGGGAAAAAAAACTCCGTTCACCAAACAACAGAATGAAACACACGGATGAGAAAAAACAAAAAACTGTGTGAATCTCATGAGTAAAAAAGCTCGTTGTTGCATTCGCAGAAGAAAGCCAACGATGCACACCACCCTCAAAAATAAATGAGCTAAATGCAATGGAATTCGTTGACATCGATATCACACAGCGTATACAGTGTATATCATACACTAATGCACGTGTGTGAATTGGTTCTTTTGTCAGATAGACCGAGTATTAGATAGACTCGATATGATCAATCCATTTATAAAAAACAAAACCAAACCAAACCAAAAACATATGCATATGATGGTTGTGCACTCGACTGAACTTTTTCCACTAGTTAGTTTTGTGGTAAGTTGTGTTCAAAGCACATCTTGGCTATACACCGTATTCAGATTTTCAAACCAATGGCGCTTCAATCGCCTGTTGTGATGACGACGACGTTGTCGTACAAAAAAAAATGCGATTCGAATATATATATATGGTTTGTTTTGTCTCGCTTTCATAACGGCGGAATTACTGGGTCAAAAATCGTGTAAACAATCCATAACGGTGTGTGTTAGTATGGAAACGTGTTCGTGTATGTGTTTATGAGGAACGGTGAAATGAAGCAAATGTACTCACGTTTTGATTGTGCATCGAAATCAAGGCTTTTCGTTTGTGAAAATTCCGATTTTTTCTTCACAGCTAACGGCGGTTTCTGGTGGTGTGACATTGAAATTAAATTATTTATTAAATTTTTCTTCTCATTCTTTCTTCTTCTTTTTGTGTGTATGGCGTGTGAATTATGACGTGGAACAGTGATTATATACCTTTGGCGTCGCTATTTGTTGTAAATCGTCCAGGCGCAATGAATCTCGAATTTTTTCTTGTTCCGCCGATCGCATCACAGATGTCATTGTGGCCGCCGTTGAAGGCACCAAATTCGATGGTGACCACACTTTTCCCGATTCGATTTTCTCCAGTGTGGGCATTCGAGTGCTAACGAACGGAAAAACACGGCATTAGTGTCGATCGATTTCAATTTATTCAAAATGAGCATGCAACATTTTACCTTTCAGCATTATCGTCATCTTCTTGCGTTAAATCTGATGGAGGTGTGAGATATCCAGCCAAGCGTAGGCCACGATCTCTTAATCCCATACTACCGAATTTCGTTTTAAAACTAGCACGAGCTCTATCAACTGCATTTGCCAATGTTGTCGTATAAATGAATGAAATTTGATGAATATTTTGATTACAAATCGGAGCAGAAGTTGGATTAATGAAGTTTCAACATATAATTAAACATACATTTGCTTAGTCTCGGTGCAAGGGGCTGTTCAGCGGGCAATGGGTTCGATAAGTCTTCAAAATTGATTATGTACAATGAGATATCGTCTACTTCGGAACGAATTGGTGCTATGACTTCAGAACAAAGAAACGTTGTTCCTGTGCCAAACAAACAACAACACACGCATTTTATTTGAACATTTCTCTTTGATATACCATTTGCTTTTGCTTAGCCTTTCTATTTTTCATTCATAACACTCACCATCTTTTCTATAGTACAAAATCTCGAAATGTTTTTCAAAACCGTTTGATAGTGCTTCTTTGATTAAATTTACAGCCTGTTGTGATGTCATTGGTCCATGAAGAAATTCCGTTGTGCTGGATCGTTGCATTACCTCAGCACGTGTGAAACCGGTCATTTTACAAAATCCATCCGAACAAAATATTATATGATACGTATCTGATTGGGCATTCGCCACCAAAAAACTTCGATCTGAAAAGAACGGGAGGAACCAAGGTTACAATCGACATTTTGTTTTTGCTTGAAAAGAAAAATTTGTTTAAATATGGATCTTTTAATGGGAAATCAAACTCGCAATATGAAATGAAATAAGTTGAATGAAAGACAATTGCTTTTTTCAAGTGTTTCCACAATTCAAATATCGAATTTACTCTCGTTTGTAAATGGATTTGGCAAAGAATCATTTTTTAGAAAAGGAAGAGGAGAAAACGAGTTGAAAATTAATTTTCGACAAGTTCGTCATAAAATATTTGTCTTCCAAATATTCAACATTTGTATCAATTGGCAAATTGTTGAGGCTCAAAATGTTCTTATCAAAGTCGATTCATAAAACGAGAAACCTGCCCACACGGGTTTCTGCGTTGTTTTTCTATAAGACAACTCACCAACAATGTCCATTCATCTCAAAAGTAAATTGAATGTAAACTTAAAATTCGCCAAGGTTAACGACTTTGGAATATTTGAATCGTTTTTAATTTTACTTATTCTGTCGACTACCCCGGTTTTCCTACTCTCCATAAATTGAATATTTCATAAAATAGCCGCTCACAGCAGAAAAAGTGCTAGAGTGTTCCGGAATGAAGCATCATTTTCATTTATATTATGAAATAAAATTAAATATTTGTTATTTTCAGTGTATAAATATGGTTCAGTAACCGCGACATTCTTCACACAGCCAAATCTCATGCAACTTAAGCTTAAACTTTTACAATCTTCGATATGAAGTCTATAGTATCAACATTCTCTGGTGTATCACATACCCATCGCATCATTTGTTAAGTATACTCTGTCTTTAAACCGCCGAACAAAACGCTAGTGGCAGCTAGTTTTGGTGTATGCGTTTTTTTCTCAAATCAATAAACGTCTCATTGTTCCGCAGCTTTTCATTTATGCATTTTCTCGGTGTGTTTGTGTATGTATATAATATAGAAGGGCTGTCTTTGTGTGTTATAATGTCGGCATGGTGAAAATTGCGAAACAGAGGAAAAATCATTCATATTAATGTGATTACCGTACAACGCCTAAATTACACTCGAAAAAATGATAGTCATAGCCTTAGTCATTTATCACATACATAAATTAAAACAAAACTTCATAAATAGTTGAATGATTTTTCATTGTGAATTGTGCAATTGTTGCGCTGTTTCCACAGCTCATGTATGTTCGGAACAACATATATGCACCAACGAATAGAAGCGAGAGCGAGAAAGAACGGCACCAAAACGACAATCAGCCATGTGAGTTTTTCGCTTTCATGTAATATATTATTAACTTTTTCATCAAGCTTAAAATGAAATCATATTTCGAGCAAATAATTTTTAATGTAGCTGATTTAGAGTAATACGTCGGAAATTACAATATTTGAAACAAAAGTGAATGATAATTTTCTATGACAATTCAATTGTTTTCATTTATTGTTCGAAGAAGAAGGGCACTCCACTTTGTTTTCCATTGGGCGTAAGCGTTTGTCACTTTGCCGCTCAAGTTTTCTGTTTCTTCATAATTTCATTTTTAAATTTTAATATAAATTAACCTTCGGCGCAACGTGTCAAATGTAAAGGAACAAGAATTGAATGGCCTTTCCTGCATCATTCGCCAGCACACATTCTGCATGAAATGGAATGAGTGTGGCCCTTGTTATTTTCATTATATATGAATGTTTGTGGTTTATTTGGTTTGCTTCCAACGGAAACATCTTAAAATAGAATGTTTGCCATGAATTTGACATCGAATTATGTTAGTGTGTGTGTGTGTGTGTGTGCGCTCGCATGCTTACAAGTGTGTTTGAGCACTTGCTGTGTCTCTCCAAAACACCGTGGATATGGCCATCTGAGCGAAAAAAAAATTCATTCATTCAAAACATATCTCTATCAACATGCTTGCTTAATTAAAACGTACAACCGAGTCGAGAGATGGTTTTGCACTCAAACATATTGAACTATATTTGAATCGTCATATGTCACCTGTTCGTTACGAGTGAGTCGCATGTGTGTGTTTGTGTGTTTTTTACTGCTTTTTTGCCTCACTTCAAATCTATAAAATTCGAATATATATATATATTGTGACCGAATTATTTGGCTGTTTTTTTTTTTTTCACGTTCAATGTAAGGTTTTGACGACTTCATTACCATCATGTGTGTTCAATTCAATAAAAACTCAAATGAAAATCCGTCCAAACATATTGAACGTTATTGACAAGCTGAACAATTTGGAGGCATGCAAAAGAAAGACATTTTAGACTATATGAAGTATCTATCCCACGGGTTGAGAAAGAAATCGATTGGGAAACAAGCATGTGTTGCGGTAGGTGAAGGGAGGTGGGAAAGTGAGTTTGTAACAAATGTTGCTCGAATATCAACAATTTGTCATTGATCGATGACTAAATAAGCAGATTCGCACAGTTCGTCTAGTGCACTCGATTTGTTGAAAATCCACCTATGATGGAATACACCAAATGAAAAAATTGTTGAGAAATCATCCAAAAGTCAACCAATTTCGTTTTTTTTTTATTGATTTGAGATCCAATCAAATAAAACAGTGGAAAATCTAAATTGGACTAAGGATTGAACGAAATAGTTGTATCGAGTCATTGATCTAAATCTAAAATTTATTCTGTGGATGTGTTTCCTTTGTTATAGTAAAGGCTATTTCGAAATTCGATGTTATGCCTAATGCTCTTCAAAACAACTAGCACATATATTAGACGGGTAAAATTAATTGAAAGTCGTTGTTGTTGCACCATAAAAATCGTGTTTGGTACGGACATGTACGATTGATTGAATGAGTTTCCAATGGGGAAAAAGGAATATCATGTGTGATTCTCGTTGAACATAGTTGAAATGTTCTTTGAGAGAGCAACATGTTCAGCTTGTACAGCCGAACATTTTTGGCTCCGTGTACTGTACAGCCAAATTAAATGGGAATCCCACTAGCCAGGTCATGCTTGGTGGCAAATACATGAATATAGCAAAAATTGTCGTACACGTACGGATATCAATTGATCGAGATATCATAATGGCATGCTGTGGTATGTCAAATAAAGAATGGTGCATGTGAACTAGCCACAGAATGTTAAATTTGTGCTTACTACACACTTGAATGCCACTGAATTGCAACCAAAAGTATATTGTTTGCTGTCTGCAGTGACCAAAACATTGGAGCTTTTAATTGAAATGGACTAAATGGTTGTTCATTTTACTAACTAAATTCACCTTCACTCATTGCACTTGACGACGTCCATATATGGATTTGCAACCACAATTTGTGTTTTTTTCTATCCTTCTTTTACATGGCAGTTGTTTTTTTCACATTTAAATGACACACGGGACTACGCATCTCAGTATGAACTAAAGAGAAAAACACAGAGGGAATCCCCGTCCTGTTTTGCCCAATGAAGAGATTTTGCGTCGCATTGCAATCGTTTAGCCGCTCAATCATTACCTTATAGCAATTATAATCAACATTCGAAGCGTTCGTATTTTTAGCGGGAAATGTGTTTGAGGCGTTTCATTTCAATTATCATCAAAACACTTCGGAACTGTGTGTATGTGTGTTTTTCTTTTTCGCTGTTGCCGGCTAAAAATAGTTCGATTTTTATTCTACATATGTGTTTACGAATGCTGCAAATTTCCCAATCGATTGAGACCAATTTTTCAGTGCCTTCAACGCCAACAAGTGCCTCGTCGATCATTCCACGGCGTTCTGACTCCACTGTATATTAAACCAATGGAGCGAAAACGAGGGAACGAGAGAGAAATAGTGTCAAAAAAGAATAAGCACCGAATAAATAAACAATTTGATCACTTTTAACGCGTCGAATTTGATCACACTCAATGAAGCTCATAAAAAATTGAATGGTTCGGCTTAAAATAGGATTGGATTATATTAGCAATGGTTATTTTTTCTCTCTCTCCCTTTCTCTCTCTCAGCATTTGATGTGAATCTTTTTTGGTTTAGTAGATGCTTAAAATA